AGCTGACATTTTATCAAGGGGAATTGATCGCCCAATTAAATGCTCAGTTGATGAGTTGTGGAAATTACCACGGAGAGAGACATCTCATCTTCATTCATAGCTACTAATTCTAACCGCATGTAGAAAGAGACAGTTTAATGGAGTTCTTTATAAGTTCACGTTATGTAATAGTTCAAGTGTAGGCTACTACAGCTATGTAATAGTTCAAGTGTAGGCTACTACAATTATATAATAGTTCAAGTGTAGGCTACAACATCTATGTAATAGTTCAAGTGTAGGCTACAACATCTATGTAATAGTTCAAGTGTAGGCTACAACATCTATGTAATAGTTCAAGTGTAGGCTACAACATCTATGTAATAGTTCAAGTGTAGGCTACAACATCTATGTAATAGTTCAAGTGTAGGCTACAACATCTATGTAATAGTTCAAGTGTAGACTACAACATCTATGTAATAGTTCAAGTGTAGACTACAACATCTGTGTAATAGTTCAAGTGTAGGCTACAACATCTGTGTAATAGTTCAAGTGTAGACTACAACATCTATGTAATAGTTCAAGTGTAGGCTACAACATCTATGTAATAGTTCAAGTGTAGGCTACAACATCTATGTAATAGTTCAAGTGTAGGCTACAACATCTATGTAATAGTTCAAGTGTAGGCTACAACATCTATGTAATAGTTCAAGTGTAGGCTACAACATCTATGTAATAGTTCAAGTGTAGGCTACAACATCTATGTAATAGTTCAAGTGTAGACTACAACATCTATGTAATAGTTCAAGTGTAGACTACAACATCTGTGTAATAGTTCAAGTGTAGGCTACAACATCTGTGTAATAGTTCAAGTGTAGGCTACAACATCTATGTAATAGTTCTACTGAGTTCAGAAATACATAATATACTGACTCCACGCTTCAAGATACAATTTGCTTGATGATAGTTACTGTATCACCCTCAGTTAATTACCTTCTTTAGACGGCCAAAAAAAAAAAACAAGCCAAGAGACATCGAAATCTAATCAAAACAACCAAGTTTTCACCGAAGCTCTTATAAAGTTAACACAGACATCTTCACAAAATATCGGTTAATTAATTAAATAATCAATTAACTGACCGTACGATCATAATAAAAAAAATAATTGTTATATATTATTTCACCCCGTCTAAAAGACAACCATGAAGTATTTTTCAATACAATTCAACGCTGACATTAATCAAATCAAAATATAGAAGTGCAAATGGGAGTGATAAAATTTCAATACAACTAAATAACAAGAAGATATAATACTAGAATAATCGATATATGAAACTAAATAAAATGTAGCCGACAAAAAAAACAAAAAGACGACATTTAAATAATAAAGCAATGAAAGTAAAAACGAAAAAAAAATCCCTGAATTCAACGAATCCAAATATAGACGTTAAAAACAATGAAAGCAAGACGTTAAAAAGAACGAAACTAACAAAAGACGCTAAAAAAACAAGGAAACAAACCCGCGTTTTAAAGTCCCTGATGTATATCCAATGTCTAGAAACCGTGGCTTAAAGTGTATACATTATTCGCGCTTGTTCAGATTTGGAAAACACGACATTACACCCCGACTGAGCGTAGTGGCCCTACATAAATATCAGAGACAGAAAAGTACTGGGGCTTAGCGAAGAAAAATGGGGAAAGAAAATTCCCCGGGAAAGAAAATTCCCCGGGAAAGAGTTAGATTCTGGACAAGGACGTGAAAGTGGGATAGAAAACTGATAGAAAAAAAAAACGTGATTTGATTAACATGTTGTCTTGGGTTTGTTGTTTTTATCAGGGTGGAGGGGGGGGGGGGGGCTCTTCAAACAAGGAGGATCTAGATATAACTCCCTGGCTTACTGCTGTAGAGCCTTCAATGATACTACAAAGTCTTGGAGAATATACACAACCACCATTTAATAGGCAAAAGTTGTAAATGATACACAGACACCTTTGTAATATAGAAGAAAAATAATAGGCAACAACTGACAAAAACTAGTTGATGCATCAAAACGCTAATTGATGTAATCAAAATGTAATTAGTGCAGCTGTAAAATGGTGAATTATAGGAAGCATAAGTTCTTAAGACAAGCTAGCTAATTGATTTTTTTAACCTGTAGTGTCGCTGTATTTGTGCTTATTCTGTAAAATCTGGTTGGGTTACTACAAGCTTATCTAATTCTAATAATTTAAATACGTATAGAAAGATATACGTAAATGATATCACAATAAGTAATTTTTTAAAAAGGCAGCGTCAATATCGTCTCAAAGTGTTCATCAGCATACACAAAAGACAAACGGTTACAAATTTGGACTTAGCTTGACTATGAAAACACGTCATGTGTATAGGCTACGACATCAAAAAGTAGAGACGTGTGTTAGAAGGCTCACTAGTTGGTGTAGGGTTTTTAAAATAAATTTATGCATAAACCTCACAACAGCTATCATTTCCATAGATTTTGATATCAAAATATAGATATGCGAAATTTAAGTGTTGTAAAATCATTTCACATTACGATGTATATGGAATGTGGTTGGGGCATTTCACATTACGAATATTGTTGTGGAGAAGTGATTTGATCACCTGACAACCACATTGCCCAGTAACCGAACAGTTGTGAGTATATAGTGCTGTTATATATTGTGATTTTTAAAAAAATGAAAAATGTGATCAGATGTTAAGTAAACAAATATACTCTGACTAGCCGTCCCGGCTAGGTCCTGCATTGGCAAGTAAGGTAAAAGTTATTTGTAAAAGTCAGTAACTTAAGTACTCATTAAGCAACATATACCCTGCGCTGCATGGTGTTTAGGAATTTATAAAATTTTCAATTAAAGTTCTATGTGTAAGTTTTTACTATATGCATGTCATCAACAAACATGTCCGTCCGCCACATACAAATAAAAAAGACCCCATTGAAGATATATATATATATATATATATATATATATATATATATATATATATATATATATATATATATATATATATATATATATATATATATATATATATATATAAATTTATTTATATCTATATATATAATTCTCTTCATTGGGACCATAGAAAACACCACGCAGCTTAGCCACCACCCTCATCCCCACTTGTCAGGTGAGCTGTGGTTCACCCCGAATGTCTACAATCGTAGAGCCGGGTCCGCTATTAGGGATAGGGGCAGATAATTTAAATTTAAAAGAGGGAGGTAATAACAATTTCTGCCATAACTATTCCTTATCGTCTGTAAACTGTCGTCATGGACGGCTGCTTTCACGGAGTTCGCGGGAGGGGTGTGGGTGGGGAGTGAGGGTGAGGAAAATAGTCTTTACTGATAGCGTTTTAAAGCAAAATATTTTCAGTCGCAGCATTGGTAGTGAATTATGAATTACTAAAAAATAGAAAATAAAACAACTAAACAGCGGCGTATGCATACGGCGCGGGTCAGCTCGTGTATATATATATATATATATATATATATATATATATATATATATATATATATATATATATATATATATATATATATATATATATATATATATATATATATATATATATATATATTAGATATCATTCAGATATGTAATTTTGTTAGCGTATGTTATCCTTCTCCCAAATTCCTCCGCTTTTGCATTACTACGCTCATCATTTGACATATGAGGACTGTTGTAGATTTGATATATATTTCTTTCATTATATAGGTGTGTACATATTATATAGGATTTACAAATTATGAGCTCCATTTCTGAAAACAAAGATCAGAGTTCGGGAGGGGAGAGTTGGGTATGAATATCTGAAAAGGAGGGGCGGAGAAATTGATGGGAATACAATTTTACCTGATGTTAGAACATGTAGGCCTACAGGATATGAAGGGTGCATGCTTTAATGTATACGCTCCTTTAGTTTTTACACAAGATTCCTATATGTATTTTAATTCTGTATCCCTTACAGAAGGGACACAATTTTTAGATGCAAGGGAAATAATTTAAAAAAAAAAATAACTTAAACCAATACGAATAGAACAATTCAAAACAAATACGCCTTTTCTATTACTGTTTTACTTATTAAATGTAAACAACTGTACAGTAGGTAAACAATTGTGTACCAGTTATAGATTTTAAAAAATACAACGTGTATTTTATTTTTATTTATAATTGAAAGACATTAACTTTATTTTAAGAACCGTCATTTAAGTGATGTTAAAATTGCTTTAACGAGTGTTCCGAAATCAATAAACTATGTGTATTTCTGGATCCCTACAAAAGGGTCAAAAGTAAATTAAAATTTGGTGAATGTATGTTATGAGCAGCTTGGAATTAGCTGGGAGCCAAAAAGCCGAGCATTATCTGGTATTTTTACAGTCGCCTATGGCACTAGAGCTATCCCCTCACAAAATATCAACCCTTTGTCGTAACTGCAAGTGGTCGATCTAATTCAATCACTTTAAAAAATGTATAGCTTATATAAGGCTGCGGTTTCTCTAGGTAAGTTTTCGGTTACTTATAACTCAATTATTAGATGACTCCAATTTGACCATTGAAAAGAGAGCGAACGGCAAACTTTGTCAAGAATAATTTCTCTGCAACTTACCTGCAGATACCTGATCCAATAGGTGTAACAAATAAACCCAACAAACATCACCATCTTTGCATTTATAGATATAGGTATAGTTCAATTCGTATTGAGATTCTTCCATTTCCACGATTTCATGCGCCCATTAAATGGCTGCATTAACTACATCCGCACCTTTAACAACGATTTAGGTTACGTTAGGTTAGGGTAGGGTAGGGTAGGTTAGGTTAGGTTAGGTTAGGTTAGGTTAGGTTAGGTTAGGTTAGGTTAGGTTAGGTTAGGTTAGGTTAGGTTAGGTTAGGTTAGGTTAGGTTAGGTTAGGCTAGGTTAGGTTATCGCCCCCTCCTTGGACATAGACCGTTAACAACAGCTTTCCACAAGAACGATAATATACTTAAAATTAATTTGAACTTACCAATTACGCGTCTGGCATTGAGCAAATATCCCATAATTTCATGTTTATACAGAAAACCAAGGTAAGTTCAAGCAATAAGTTTATTAGTCCATTGTAGTTAGGCGACAAACCTGAAAAGAAACAAGAAACTGCATTTGTAAAATTTTCCACAACAAACTTAATGAAATTAATTTTATAGTACTCTACCATAATTTGAAGTTTAATATTACAATAACCTTGCCTTTATAATTGGTATAAATTCAGTTATCAATACATTTGAACTAATGGAAAGGTTTTAATTAAATATAACTTAGATGTCAAGTGCTATCGAGAAATAAAGCTTTAAAAAACAGCGAAAAGATAATTTTGTAACGTCAGAAAAACATGTTTTGACGTGTTATTGTGTTATCTGAATTTTTGTCAACAATTTTTGACATGACGGTTTAAATTGATAGAAATATTAAAATCTAATTTTGAAATCTGAGGTGAAAAAAAATAAATTGTCAATTGATGAAATCTGATGCTTTAGTTATTTTGCTTTTTGCCTGCAGGTAGAAGATTAATGTTGGACTACTTGAATTTAGCGTGTCGTCGTTTGGGGTGGTTGTATGGGGAAAAGGGTTGGTTGGTTGGTGGGGGTGGAGGGGTGTGTGTGTGTGTTTAAAGGGTTGCGTGTGTGTTTGTGTAAAGGTTGCGAGTTTTTGGGAGTTGGTTTGTAAATGGGGATATTTCGCCATATTCAAACACGCCTTCATAATAAAGAAGAGGCCATATTAAAAGGTCAGGTATTTTTGTGACCTCATTGCTAAAAATAGGTAAATAATTTGAAATAAACTAAATCATGATTAAAATTTTTGCTTAATTTATCCGTCGCTAATAGCACGCGCATGAGTGGTTTAAAACACAGTTTCTAAGGTAATTAAAGAAAAAACTCATTTACCTAACTGATGATTGGGAAGCTTTGGTTAATGAATTAGAAGTTTCTATTTTAAAACATGGATTTCTGAAAACATTCAGGAAAAGAAACGAATCGAAGTAATTCAATAACATAATGTAATCATGAAGAAATATACGGGCAAATGAGAAGCTTTCTGCTTAATTAGAAATAATTAGAAACACTAATGTTTCAAGACCACGTGACTCGTGCAAGTTTAATTAACTTTTTATGTTTAGTTCAGGTGTTTTTTGACATTGTTGTGTTGTACACCTGTCTAAAAAATAAATCTTTACAGCATCTTGACTAAGGCTAACGAAGGAGTAGCGATGTTTGACACTAGAGCTATTGGGGGGGGGGGGGGGTGGAAGACAAAAGCTGCGTAACACTATACTGTATAAGACTGGACGTATAGAAGAAATGGACGTGTAACGCGACTGGACGTATAAGAGAACTGGAGGTATAAGATGACTGAATGTATAACTAGACGTATAAAACGACTGGAGGTATAAGATGACTGAATGTATAACTAGACGTATAAAATAACTGGAGGTATAAGATGACTGAATGTATAACTAGACGTATAAAATGACTGGACGTATAAGATGACTGGACGTATAAGACGACTGGACGTATAAGATGACTAGGACGTATAAGATGACTGGACGTATAAGATGACTAGACGTATAAGATGACTGGACGTATAAGCTGACTGGACGTATAAGATGACTGGACGTATAAGATGACTGGACGTATACGATGACTGGACGTATAAGATGACTGGACGTATAAGTGAACTAGAGGTACAAGACGACCCCCTAACCCTATTTAAAATAAATTGATATATACGGCGTATAAGAACCCTAATTAAAAAAAATACTTTCTTGGGTTTCTTGGCGTCTTAAAAAAGGTATGTTACACACTCCGGTACTAGTGCAGGTGGAGTAGAGTTGACATGGTGCACAGAAACTTTCAAGATGGGAAAATTACAAGAACAGGAAGAAGCAAGTAGAAAAATAAGACATGGATACTGTATAGGTGTGTTTTGATCGGCTGCCTTTTATCTCCCAGTAACTAAACTATTTGTCAGCAAGTAAAAGTATGAGGGACAGTGGTGTCATACATCAGACATATTCATTTACAACATCTATCAGAAAATGGTGTCACATATCCCACTTGTATGTCTGAATGACACATCTCAACATCTAACAGATAAATGTGTCATACATTAGACATATTCGTCTGTTACATCTGTCAGAAAATGGTGTCACATATGCAACTTGTATGTCTAAATGACACATCTTCACATCTGAACTTTAACTAAATCCACACAAAACGTCGATGTCTAAGATAAACCAATCACATGTTTGTAAAAAGCACTTTTCACGGTAAATGTTTTACTAAAATCCAACAATCTACCTTATAAAATAAAGTTTTTAAAATACTTTTCCTGTGTATTAATTACAAGTATCCTATCTCTTTTACAATAAAAAAATTGAAATAATACGTTCTTTTGTTAAAGAAAATGATGATATATAAACCCAAATAACGTTAAAAAATCTTACGAAAATTCTCTCAAACTAAACCGTATGTGCTGACTTCTAGATGCGACACAAAAATAAATAAACAAATCCACGAACGAATTTTGAGAGACAAGAGGTAGACTTGATTATTTATTGAGGTATGACATTGCGAAAGTAATTTTTTTTACGACAGCGTTAAGTTTGTTTTAATTTATGCTTTTTTTTGTTTATGTTTAAAGAAACGTGACAAGTGGAAATTGAATTACTCTTGTAAACACGTCAGTTGTTGAAGGTTTCAAACTTGGCGACCTTGTGGAAAAAACACGATATGCTTTTTAAAGCTTACAATATAGTTTATCTAGATGGCCGTGTTTGTTTAAATAAACTGTATATTACACTAAACTGTATATTGGTATATTAAATATCTAATTTAAGAAAAAAAAACCATTTGTATCATTCTTTTTTAAAAAAAAAAACAATGTATTAAAGTAAAACTGAGAATAGTTTGTTTAAAAATAGTTGAAAAATTGCTCTTAGAGTAGTTTTGTAAGCATACTATGTGTCGATGGTGTTTAAACAAAATTGCTATAAATACGACATTTCGTATAATTTTCATGTAAAATGAAAGAATAATTACAAAATTTTAGTTCATAGTACGAGGAAGATGAATACACGAAAGAAGAATTGTTGATTTATTTTTAAAGTGCTTTTATACCGTGTTCTCGAGTGAAATATTAAAGATTAAAAAAAAAATGAAGAAAACATTTTAGTCCGAAACCGACCGAAAGCTCTAAATTGGGATCTCCCAGGAGAAGAGAACTCTAATGGCTCGCATACAACCCTTCTGTCAGTAGCCTCCCATTGCTGAACTCTCGAGGAAAGCCCAAAGAGAACTGTAGCGAGTACGATTTAAAGAGCAGAATTTTTGTCTGGAACACAAAACACATCTGTTTTCTGTGTTGTTGGAGGCAGCTCTAATGGCGGATTAATGGGTTCTTCGGTAATTAATTAAAAGTTAAATTAACAGTATGACAAAGGACATCCATTTATAAAACAAAACTGAAGAAAATATGTTTGTACGAGGTATAATTTGTTGATAGGGTTCAGTGAGTGATTCCGTGATAGCGTGGCAAAAAAGCAAACATCAGCATCATTTACAAATGTTGCACTATGAGTTTATAGAATTGGGTACAAAAGTGGAATGTGGATATATGTATAATAGATGTTGGAGACATGTATGTGGGCGTGGATGTGGGTTGTTGATGCAGATAAATTTTCGTGTGTGTGTGAATGTAGGCGTTTTTTTTAAAGAACATGGGCTAAAGTTTTGAATGCAGACGTGTATGAGTGTGTCGATGTGGGTGTTGATGTGGGTGTTGGTGTGGGTGTGATGTGTGATGTGTTGCGTGTGGGTATTGGTGTGTGTGATGTAGGTGTGGGTGTTAGTGTGTGTGTGGGTTGATGTAGATGTTGGTGTTGGTGTTGGTGTGGGTGTTGGTGTGTATGTTGTTGTTGGTGTCGGGTGTGATGTGGGTGTTGATGTAGGTGTTGATGTTGGTGTGGTTGTTGGTGTCGGGTGTGATGTGGGTGTCGATGTGGGTGTTGATGATTGTGATGATATGGATATAGCCGTCACTGAAGCAAGTCTATCTTACTTCCGCTGGACTTAAGCCTGACTGTATTTAAAAGCACAGAGCCCATATATTTAACTCTGGCCCTAAGTGGACTGTCCGGTCTGGTAACCCCATGGATCAACCTGTCGGCATGTGTTTATCCCGCGTTTAGTTGTCTCCCTGTTGTCCCAGAGTGTTTGTACTAAACACAGCTAGTTTATGGCTAGCACTAAACACAGCTAGTTTGTGGCTAGGACTAAACACAGCTAGTTTGTGGCTAGGACTAAACACAGCTAGTTTATGGTTAGGACTAAACACAGCTAGTTTATGCCTAGGACTAAACACAGCTAGTTTATGGCTAGCACTAAACACAGTTATTTCATGCCTAGGACTAAACACAGCTAGTTTGTGGCTAGGACTAAACACAGCTAGTTTTAGGACTAAACACAGCTAGTTTATGTCTAGGACTAAACACAGCTAGTTTATGGTTAGGACTAAACACAGCTAGTTTATGTCTAGGACTAAGCACAGCTAGTTCATGGCTGGGACTAAACACAGCTAGTTTATGGCTGGATGTAATAGTTGATGAAAGTATGTTAGAAATTGGTAATCGATATTAGGATCGATCCAATATGATTGAAAGGCTGTTTTGTTTGTTTGGCGGTGTTGTAAAGTAACTAGTTGAACCAATTAGGGTCTGACACTGAAATCAGACGAGGTTCACTTCTGATTCAGGACAAGAAAAGTTGACCTTTGAGACAGGAATGATTGACCGCTGACAATTGAACAGAAAAACATAAAACCTGACTTTGTACCAAGATGTTTGACCAACTAAAGTTGACCAGAAAAAAAACTAACTTTGTACCAAGATACCTGACCAGTTAAAAGTTGACCAGGACATAAAAAAAGTTCAGTGCTTTGGGATTTCCAGGGGTCGTTCAAGCAGAAATCATTATGGTTAGATAAAAAGCTATAAAAGAAACGGTCGTATTTCTTTAAGCAAAGTTTCTATATAAAGCCTTATCTGGACAAAATGCCAAATTCCTATATAAAGCCTTATCTG